CAAATGAGCAGGGCATTTCGGTGCAAAACACGCGAGGCATTCAAAACGACGACAGTGTGACACAAAGTATGCACGCACTCTTGAACCAGTGCGACGAGGATGTTCGTCTAGGACTAGGGAACGAAGCTCTTGGATGGGTGAAGCAACTTCTTCGTGCGAAAAAGTGTTTTGCCGCTATGGTGGAGGACGTTACTATTACACAAAAGGGTTTCGACTTAAGTTGCGTTTACAGTTCACGGAAGAAAACGTTTTTGACTCCTGAAACTTCGATTCTCCTATTTTTCCGAAATGCTGGGTCGATACCTATACTTTCTTTGCCGCGCATTCTTCCGTTGCATCGATTTCCCGATTCTGCTATTCTCCCGTCGCAAGTAGAGACACAGTGGAGTAGCGTTCAGTTGTGTGGTTCGGTCATCGAATGTGCGTTCATACATTGCGGTAGCGTTTTGAGCGACTAGGAAAGCATAGGTATCGATCCAGCGTTTCGAGCGTCACCATTCTGAGCGTCCACCAGAGTTTTGAGAGTCCGCCTTTTCGTCGCTAAAAACGCCCAGGACATGGTGTTGTTTAGCGCTCATAGTACTCAGTGGTATTGCCAGCCGCTGCTTTCCTGTCATTTCGTCTATCATTGCTGACAAAACCGTCAACATACTATTTAGTGATTACTTCAATGATTTGAGGTATCGGAGGAATCATTCGCTGAGTGTAAATACGATTTATCAGCCCAGTGGGTCGGAGAATGCTCTCGTGGGCTAAAATATGTGACAGTTTCTCTGCGAAGTCTCGGTATTGGGCCTACACAAGCAGCTTTCTATCCAAACAAGACATATTTCTTTACATGTAAGTCTTGTACTCATAGTTTTTTTTACTTGAGGGGATGCTTTCATGGCTGCCTATGAAACTTTTGCAAGGATCCTATTTTTTATTTTTTTTGGTAATGCCGCGAGGTTCGGCGGTCTGGCGATTTCCCAGACGCCAGATCGCTGACTCTCCAAAAACGATTAATAGCTCAATCTTCTGAATCGTTGGATCGCTCAATCTCCTCAGTCGCCAGGTAGATGCCTATACTTGTCGCGCAATCTCTCAGGTCGCCAAATCGCTCAAATTGCGAAGCTCCGCAGTCGCAAAGTAATTAACGCAGCCCCACATCTGCAGATTTCATGGTTCACATGATTTTCTTTCAATTTTCAGCGTTCTCTACTGGTACGACAAGTGGAATCGGAGATAAGATGGGTGGTCTGTGTGAGATGGGAGTGCGGCTCATTGTGAGTTTCATTTCGCTACACATTCAAAACTGATGGTTGCGACTTCTCTGGTAAAGATATGCCCATAATTCTCAGGAATGGTGGCGCTTCAATTGAGCAAACCAACTTTTGCATTCTTTTTTCTATCTCCAATTTTTTGTATGCCATTCTAAGGCACTGTTCACAGTCTGCGACCGTGATGAATCAGAGAGAGAAACGCTTCCGCGAAAAGATTTCGTACTTATCGACAGGCGGAATAGGCAGACCGAGAGGGCAAATCAGGCACTTTGGCGAAAAGGGTAGGATAGGTATCGGTCTGGGAGAACCGGAGGAGCGAGACGGCGAGCCTGGCGCTTCGAACGCTCTCCAGTTTTTCCCTTTGGCGGAATCAACACCTGTATGTATCACGCCCTTTTTGCGTTGACTTAGCATTCACCGGCGTTTCGCCACGACAATTCCACCAGTTGTTGCAAATACTTTGCTTTTCGCCGTTTCTCCGACTCATCAGGGCCGAAGACCGTAAAGAAGAATGCCTATTTGGTTATTTTCACGGGGTCTCCAGTAAAAACATGAACGCATCTTACGCTACAACTGTACGAAATAGTCTCACAGCCATCTGCCCACATTACTACAGGCGATTGCCCAGAAGGTAGCATATGAATGTGAAGTGTGGGCAGATAGCTGTAAGATTACTATTTCTCCGTTTTCTGCTATACATAGATCGTGCAAGGTATTATCTTCCAGTCAGAGCACGTCCTGCTGTTGGGAAAAT